AATTCAATGTTTTAAGAATTTCGTCATCAGTTTTCCATCAGTTTTGATAATAATTATAAAAATCTTAATCCAAAATCTTGTAACTAATGGGGATTTAGGGATTTTTCCCATCGGAAAATTTTCCATTGTTGCGTGACATTTAAACCACCCTGTATACTATACAGTTTTAGTAGGTAGTGCATGTGGAGTTTTGAGAAGTTCGTCTAATAAGGGTGAATTTGAGAGAAAATGAATAAACAATGAATAATGAATTTTTAATCATATTTTTTAGGTTCCGCTCGAAAGGCTTCTAAGTTCCAGTTGTGTCTACGCTTTGTGTATTTGGCCTGTGAAGTGACGGCTCCCTTAATTTCCGCGCTATTGGCAACTCTTACCATGCTATCGCCATGTCAGCCTGTATTGCTAAGTCGCCTTTTCTGCCCGAGAAGCAATTTTCTTTGTGGAAAATCGCACTTCATAATCCAATCATTTTTAGGGATACTTGAAATTGTAGCATTTGAACAGCTTGCAATTAGCTCAATTTATTACTTAACAACCGTGTTACTGCAAGGTATCGCATTCTTGTGAAGTTCATGTCAAGATTTTGTAACTCGTGATAAAACATCGAAGGTTAGCTTCGCCTCATTTTCGAAATACAGAGAGCTCAAAGTTTTCGAAAAATGGTTAAATTCCTGCACAAAATCGAGAATATTGCTCACTATAGCGCTTTTAATTCCAGCCATCCAAATTTTACTAGGTTGCGCTTCCATTAAATTATTCCAATCGGAAAATACCAGAAAAATTGAGGCTTTGTTGTTCACATGGTTGTACATTGTGGGTCTCACATTTTCAATATTTTTATTTTCTGCAGCTGCTCAAATCAATAATTTGAGCAGAAATTGGATATCTCTATTCAAGCGGAAGTGTCGCAACAGGGTGGAGCGAAGGATGCATAAATCTTTAATGTCGTTAAGGTTGGAATTTGGGAATAATTTTGTTGAGGCTTTAACACCGATTGTGGTGCAGGAATTCTGTGTGCGACAAACAGTTGCTTGCCTTCTTATTACATTGTAGAGAATCAATAATAAAGTTACATTGTCAAAATCCATAAAGTTCAAAGGCGGCAAAGTTTCACGATGAAGTCACTAGGTTCAACTGACAATGAGTTGATATTGCCATAGGGTTTATGGATTTCATGAATTGTTGCCACAATAATGAAACTGCGCTTGTATTTGCATACATATTTAGCTTATATGCAAAATGCCATGCATTCATATGTATGTACGTACCGCTTGGTCTCAAAATTATGTCGCTCAGTAAAAATTTGCTACCAATTTGATGGTAAAACTTGATTAGCGAGATACATATTACCATAACGTATAACTTATCAATACAACTTTTGGAGTCACACATGAAATCCGCATATTATTTTAATACCGGATTTCTAACAGCGTAGATACATATTTAGAAACGATAGGCATTTATCATTATTTTATATAATTTTTGCCATGGTGTTTATTTAATTAACCTTGTGATTTGGTAAATATTTGTCGGATGGTGCGAGAAATTATCGGTAAATGTCGAAGGAGTTAGTATCGGCCAATCCAACAATTTATGGAGGAGGTACCTTTATATTTCGTAATATAGATTATCTTACCCATAATGTTTATTATGTTTGTACATATTCCCCGGATTTATTAATTAACCATGATTATATTAATACATATTCCGCACCACATATAATTTAATTCAAGCAACATCGTAATAAATAAGTAATAAATACTTTGTCAACGTTACTTGCATATTTAATTAAGACACGAAGGGTATTTGATTATAAACATATATTCAGGACATCATTCCATCTCGCAACCAGAGGTGTGTATTTATTTATTCTGTGTTACCCTAGCTCCTTTAATTGAATATTAGATATCTGTACTAATTTCGAGAATTTATCGTACCGTGTAAAATTTTTAATTAAATAGAATAAAATATTTAGATAAACCAGTAAACAAGTAAATGCGAGTGTTCAGCTAAATCCAACCTTATGTAACCTTTAAGCCTTGAATTCGAAAAGTAGCATTTGCACTTGCAATTAAATTCAAAAGCCGCAGTATACCTTGGGCAAACTTGATCGGAATAGATTTAAAATGCTTAACAAAGATATCACTTTGATCAAACGAAACATACAATGGGGCGGATATTTTGCCTGTTTACCCGTCAAGTGGGATACGCGAAGTGGAAAAGTTGTTATATTTCCAGGCGCACAGAGACTTATCGCTTTGTCTCTTACCATTAATTTGTGCATTGCGTTTTGTCGAATACTTTCCACAATTACCAGCTCATCCGGTTTACTTGATCGAGCTCAGGGTGGAATCGGGGCTGTATTCTTCGTGACTGGGTTTCTGATAAGATTTGACATTGCCATTGACCACGTGCCCGTTCAAGTACTAAACCTTCTGCTTAAAGAAAATGGACAATCTGGTAAGAAAATAAGCTTAAAAATTTTCTGTGCGATCATATCTGTTCAAATTCAATCATTAAATACGGAAGGAATGAATTAAAATTCATGATTAATGATGACTGAGTAATTTTTTCAAAATTTTGGAATGAATAAATATTGAAAAAATGTTTATTCGTTTAATATTCATGAAGAACAAATGAATAATTTTATTCGTTACTCAGTTTTCATCTTAGTTAGTACATGGGGATTATTGAGGAGTTCATCTAATAATGGTGAATTTGGGAGAAAATGAATAAAAAATTAATGATGCATTTTAAATCATTTTTTAGGTTCTCCTCGAAAGGATTCTAAGTTCCAGTTATGCCTCCGATTTTTGTATTTCGCCTGCGAAGTGACACATCCCTTAATTTCGGCGATATTGGCAACTCTTACCATGCTATCGCCATGTCAGCCGATCTTGTTAAGTCGCCTTTTCTGCACGAAAAGCAATGTACTTGCCGGAGAATTGCACTTCATAATCCAATCATTTTTCGCAATACTTGAAATTGTATCATTTGAACAGCTTGCATTTAGCTCAGTTTATTACTTAGCAACCGTGTTACTGCAAGGTATCTCGTTCTTGTGGAGTTCATGTCAAGATTTTGTAAATCGTGATGAAATATCAAAGCACAATTTTACCTCATTTTCGAAATACAGAGAGCTTAAAGTTTACGAAAAATTGTTAAATTCTTGCACAAAATCGAGAATATTGCTCACGATAGCGCTATTAGTTCCAGCCGTCCAAATTTTGCTGTGTTGCATTTCCATTAAATTATTCCAATCGGATAATACCAGAAAAATTGAGGCTTTTCTTTTCACATGGATTTACATTGTGGGTCTCACATTTACAATATTTTTATTTTCTGCGGCTGCCCAAATCAATAATTTAAGCATGAATTGGATTTCTTTATTTAAGAGGAAGTGTCGCAACAGGGTGGAGCGAAGGATGCATAAATCTTTAATGTCGTTAAGGTTGGAATTTGGGAATAATTTTGTTGAGGCTTTAACACCGATTGTGGTGCAGGAATTCTGTGTACGACAAACAGTTACGTGTCTTCTCATTACACGGTAGAGAATCGATTAGGGGCCTTTTATAAATTATACAACGCAAAGGTTGTGATTTTAGACCCCCCCCCTCCGCTCTTTAAAATTTATAACTTAGGCACTATATTTTTGGAGCCTTATATCCCCTTCCCCCTCTGGCTTTGCGTAATTTATGGACTGCCACTAATAAGCTTAAAATGTATTGTATTGTACAATCCATAGAGTTCAGGGTTTCAATTGGTAAAAACAAATTGCCCAGGGCAACTGGAAAACGTGGGAAAAATGCGATTTTACCATTCACCAATGATATGTAGGTAAGAAATGTGCACAATGGGGAAAACTGTATATTGGGCAATGCGAAACAACTTCTTTAAAACGTATTTATTTAAATATAAGTTCATATTCGTACTGTTTATCTAATTCTGAGAAAAATTTTCTCGAAAAATCAGCAATAGAGTTAAAATCCAATTAATCTTTCACACTATGTAACATTTGTGTATGGGAAAATTCAAAGAACAATCAAAATTGGTCACAAGTTACCTTACTTATTACATATCAAAATCTTCAGAAATAGCATGAACATGACGAATGAGTACAATTCCGAAAATATTGAGTATTAAGGAAGTTGCCTTTCCTCACAACTAAATACATACGTCGGCTGCCATATTTTCGGTTTTTGAATGAAAAACCCAATTTTTCCCATCTGCCCTGTGAAAAATAGGTTTGGAGGGGAAGAACCAAACCTTGATAGAGGTCAAACACATCAATGTTTCACAATCAAGGCACACGCAAAATCGAATATGTAATACCATTTCAACTATGTAATGTATTAGAACAATGTTAATGATACGAGATAAATTATACGTGGAGTTCTACCTGGAATGGAGACATGTTTGGTTGGTTATTTTCATAAATATGCCTGTATGTATATATATATCGAAATATAATTAAAGCTGTCTACACACAAAACATCCTCTTAATGACCATTTATGCTGATGCATAATTAATTTTCATACAATATACCTACACAAATGTAGATACATAGATAGGAATACCTGTCTTTAATCCATTCAAATTGCACATACATATATCTACTCTAAAATTATTCCGACGTGATATCTCATTTGGACATTTCGACGCGTTAGCGAAGCACTTAGGGTCCTTTACTCAACATTGAAAGTCTTTATCGCCGAAAATGGGCGTGGTGAGATTTATGCAAATGAAGTTGCCCATACCATTAATTTTAGAGTATTGCAACAATTTACTATTTAGTGATATCTTCCTACATACACACATACATAGATACGAAACCACTTTAATTTACCTTTATGAATTTACACTCCTTTACCTTCCACTTATTTCGGATAAATTCGTGATGAATTTGCAGGATATGCAAATCCAGCGAAAACCAGTACAACATACTTACATAAATCGAAGCTGCTTACGTGACAGTGGGCAAATCCGCTTAAAGCGCATAATGGTTCTAACATCTGTCATAGAGGTAACAAAGTGTCAAATAAAATTAGTCAGTTATTTCATCCATTGTCCAATTTCTGTAAACACGCGTGCCAATCAGAATTCAGTTTTTTCCTGGAGTCCCAAAGTTCGCAAGGAAATGCAACATCTTCTCAAATTGACGAGTCTCGTGGCCTACGCAGTTTTCATATTTCTCTCAGGTTTGATAAACCTCGATAAGATTTCGTACACCAAGGACGCCTTCGTCGCCATGATATCGATCGGTGTTCCGTCTTGCTCGCTCTTACTGATCTTCTCTCATCGAAGTGGGAACGACATTGTTGTCCTGCTTAATATGTTATTTCTGTATGAAAAGAGGAATTCAATTTGTTTAGAAGTTCGAAATTTGAAAGACCTTTTTTACTACGGTTTCTGGGTGTTTGGAATGTTTGGATCTACGATTGGTGGACCGCTGTTTGTAACCTTACTAAATTTGGTCAACCTAAATACACCCCCTTTCTTGGGGTGGGTAATTCCTGATGTGAAAGGTAAATATATTTATGTAAATGGTGAATGTGCTTAAATACGTTAATATATTTGAATGAGTATGCAACCTATTGAAATACGTCCAATCGTGAAATATCTGTCATTGTTAAAAGTACAATTAGATTAGCTTGGTATATCGTTTGAAAATTAATTATCTATGAATAAATTGTTCCAGATTCGCCCTACCTAAAACTAATCATATTTACCCACGGCATTGCTCTCCTCTTCCAAGCTTGGGCGTATTGCACACTTGCAGGCGCTGTGATATTTATCACGGGGAATGTATTCCTCACAACTGTATTCAGTCTCAGTTTAGGACTCGATAATATAATTGGGTAAGATTAAGGCTTGTTTCGAAAGTATGTAGGTCGCATTTTTAAAATTCGTTCAGTGTAAGAGACTGTAATGTGCAAGATGAAACCCCGTTAAGAATTTAATTACACCTTTGCATAATAAATGCGACGCGAGATTTAGTATATAATATAAATACAGATACTTGAATACATACATATATTGCGTATGTATGTAAGTAAGTACTAAATAATAGAATATTTTGTCTTCAACAGCGGCCGCAAGATCAGCAAATCTTGGCAGTTCATCAAAATCGGGACAAATTACAGGAAAATGTTGACCCAGATGAAACATGTAAAAATTTTAGAGTCCCAATTCAACACTTGTTTCCGGAAAGCATTTCTTCCCGTATTGTTTTTCGTTGTATGTTTCTTAAACATACTTAGCACTTTCCTCTGCGTTTCTTTGGGGTCAAGTTTATTCATGGAATTGGGAAAGTTTATTGTTTTCGTTGTTTTGATTGATAGCTTGATGATTATCTTGATTTTTGGGCACTTGTCGGGACTAGTGAATCAAAAGTCGAAAAAGGGACTGAGCTATTTGAACAGGCAGCCTCACATTGTGGTGGAACGTGATGGGAAAATCTTTACGCGAGAGGTCGCCTCTTGCGCACCCCTGAAGATCAGATTCGGCAGCAATTACGTCGACAGGAAGACGCCTTTAGTTATGATGAGCTTCTGCATGAAAACGACGGCCAGATTACTTCTGTATGATTAGGGGTGAAAATTTTTATAAACTTTCGAAAAAAACGAAATAAAATATTTATTTCAGCGTTTGATTTTTTGTATATTTTACATATAATATTTTACATTGTTTGCATGAATTGTAAGAAATGCATGAGTAAGAGAGAGATGCCACCTAGCGGCTCGCCCTTTGTGCTGCACCTAATTATCTACTAGATGGCACTTATTTCTTCGTGTTTTGCTCCCGTTTAAAAAATTAATTTTAAATTTTACTGATTTCACATTAATTTAAACTTTCCAAACATAGTCCTACATCCATGTACATATTTAAAGTGTGCTTTGCACTATAGAATATTACCTGTATTTGTTAGTCATCAATTTCCACACAAGATCCTAAATATTTACATTATTCCAACTTACATACGATCAAATTCCTATTTGAAATTCCTAACGGATATGTACCACAAGTTGCTAAACATCCTTTGACATTCGCATCGAATATTTATTTAGCATAAATTTATAATTGTTTTTCGTCTGATGAGAAATTCATCAAACCCTTGTCGATAAATCCGGGCAAAACCAGTGCTTAGAATTCAATATCTACATCTGTATCGCTCAATACTTCACAGTTGCTCAGTTAACAATCATGGCCGTTTCATCCATCATAGAAGTGACAAAGTGTCAAATCCAATTAGTGAATTTCTTAATCCATTGTCCAATCGGTATTTCATCAACTTCAGAACGAAAGTCAATTTTCATCATCAATTCAAATATTTCTAAGAAAACGAAACATTTCCTAAATTTGACCAGTTTCATCGCCTACGCCATCTTCATCGTTGTCACTGGCCTTGTCAACCTGACATATTATCAAGTGTCGCACACTCAGAAATCATTCATTGCCATGTTCTCATCCGGAATACCATTTTGCTTTCTGGTAACGATGTTCTCCTATCGCAATGGGAACGACGTCGTAGTTTTGCTCAATATGTTACTCGCGTACGAAAGGAAGAACGGAATTAGGATAGAAATTCGAAATTTGAAGCAACGCTTCATCTATTATTTTTGGGTAGCGGGATTGTTCGGGGCTTCATTGTGTACACCGCCGTTTATGATTTTCGTAAACCTGGTGGACTTAAGGGCGCCGCCATTTTTGGGTTCGATACTTCCCGATTTTCAAGGTAAGCATTTACGCAAGGAAATTGATGAGTTTTAATTAATTTTATACACTGTTAGAAATCTGCATGGTATAGTCAGGCAGGTATTGATTTCTCGGTGTTAAAGTTTCTACCGCTTGGTATTAAAATTATACAGATCCTTAAAAATTTGCCACCGATATGGTAAAACTTTACTACCTGAAGTATTATGAGCTTGTCCTGTCTTACAGACAGGACCTTTCGACCCTTAGTCATATTTTTGCACGGAATTGCCCTGCTCTTTCAAGCCTTGGAGTACTGCAAACTTGCAATTCCCTTCGTTTTCTTGACCGGAAATGTATTTATCTCATCGATATGCAGCCTCCGTCTTTGTCAGGAATGGATTGTTGGGTACGAATTTTATATTATAAATTTGCCCATGAAAATATTTAATTGTCATTAAGTAAGTTGATCCTTAATACCACAGACGCCACCAGGTTTCCAAGTCTTCTAATTTCACTGAAGTTGGGACAAAATACAGGGCAATGTTGACGAGGATGAAACATCTCAAAATTTTGGAATCGCAATTCAACAAATGTTTCCGAACCACATTTCATCCTGGAATGTACTTCTTTTGTTGTTTTTTTAACATAATCGCTACATTTCTCTGTGTTTCTGTTGGATCACGTTTATTCTCGGAGATAGGAAACTGGATGTTTGTCATTGTTTTCTTCAATAGTCTGGTGGTAATCTTGATTTTTGGGTATTTGTCTGGAGTGGTTAATCAAAAGTCGAAAATGGGAATAAACTTGTTGAAGAGGCAGCGACAGGTGAACCTTGATAGGAAAATCTTTCGACGGGAGATTGCTTCCTGTGCCCCGATAAAGATCAGATTCGGGAACAATTACGTAGATAGAAAGACGCCTCTCGTTATGATGACTTTTTGCATTAAGATGGCGACCAAGCTATTACTTTCCTTATGATTAAAATTAGATTAAATTTTGCAGCGGTATTTTAAACCTGTTAAGAAGTTACAAGTTACATATTTACGTCTATTCTATGTACATTTTTATCTGAGATAAATTAGTCAAGAAATAAGCCAACGATTTTGAAACTTTTTTCGAATTTTTGCAATGCAAATAAATGTGTAGTTACATAAATCATAAATGTAAAGGCCGTTCAAAATTTGAAACACGCGTGCTTTATTCTTTGATCCATATTACATTACTCGGCATGTAAATATACTCGGTTTTATGTAAATTAAATACAAATTTCGACTTGAAATTCATAAAAATACGACTTACTTGTTCATTTGTCTTACTATTCCCAACTAGCAGAACCGGGTTGTTTTAATCCCGCAGAGAAGAATTTGCATTTGTCAACGACAAAGACAACATAGCTGGTTTCGTAATTCTGACAAGCAATTAATTAAAGGTGTACTTGTTTTCTATACGTTTCAAAGTAGGTAAAAAGTGGGGAAGGGAGGCATACGACAAAAAATTCTGGTCATCATTTTCACATCGTTAGACATCTTGAAGGAGGTGATTATGTTTGTTTATAATTAATTACAATTTAGTTAATTAATTCAATTATTGTTACACACACATTCCGTGGTGATTTACTAATTAGGAGGTGGACATAAAATTCTGGACCGAGATGGATAACATGGACACGCCCGCGTCAACCAAGGCGTTGATGAATCCTCTGGTACGAAATACGGATTTAAAAGCTTGTGTAATAAAATTAACCACACTTTTCCACACAGCTGCTGAAGATCGTCTTGTCTTATATGGACGTCCCCACTTTAGAATCCGCCCGATCCGTGTGCACCCTGTGGGCCGACTTGGGCGCCGCATTTCTCGGGGAACAGGTCTCCGTGACCTTCACAACTCAGAATTGCTGCCGGAAAAATAACTCCAAGTCGTCCAAGGAACTGGGATCCCTTCACCCGAAACTGGCCAGAAGTGTCCTATTGATTATGGTTCCGTCACCTTGTGGGTGGCTTTCCCTACCAAAAAACTTGACCACTAATTTGCCACATATTTCCGACCACATTGTTGAATTTGATGTTACGTTGAGCTCGAGATTTGAACCGACTTTGGAACGAATGTGGATGATGCATCACTTCCCGAACCTTGGACTTCTCACGCTTACCTTCGTTATGATAAATATTGATACTTCTGATAATTCTGAAGATCAGGATGACAGTAAAGAGAATTATCCCCCCAAAATCCCACAATTTTTGACATTGCCAAACCTCGAGTCTCTCAAGATAGTGGTCAAAGACCAAAATGAAATCGGTCAGGACGACGGGATATCCTCGATTTGTCAGGGACTCCTAAATTCCGCCTCCAACGTTGTAAATGTCACAATCTATGTCAGTTTCTACCCAGACTTCACCCCTTGTACAAAACTAGAGATGCTTGCTTACACCTACGTCCACTTCCGTGATAAGTGGACCCACGAAGAAGTGTATGTCGACTTTCCCATATTGACCTGGATGTTGGACACTTGTCTAGATTACGTGACCCGGTTGACTCTGAGTTGCCGACATGATTGGAACGACCTTCACGAGCAGGTAAGAAATTTAAGACGGATTTTAAATTATGGATGCGTTGATATTAATATTATTATAATTTTTTGCAGATTTTCATGCTCCCCTCAATGACAAAATTGGTCGTCCTCCATATCAAAGGAATGTTTCCCTTGGGAAATTTTCTGCATCAAGACCATCTTCCAAATCTGACCCATGTCACTTTCTCTGGGTACAACAGGTACGGTGTCTGTCTGCCAGACACTTTTGAAAATTTCGATCTTCCCCACGAACGGATTACTTCGCTTGACGTGGATGCCGTCTACAGATATTTCGACCAAGATGTTGAAACTGCGGTGAAAATCGCCCGACTTTTCCCATCAGTGAAAAAATTTCGATTGAAGTTGACTATTTTTGATGAGGGAGATGACGATCCATCGCGTAACGGAAGTGTTGCAATCCTTCGCCACGTGGAATTTGACGTCTGGTTTGGTGGAGATAGAGAGTGATCACGACACAACGGACGTTCTAGCTGTGTTGCGAGGGGTGGTGGCGTGGAAGGGTAAAGCACAAATTAATTTCGACGCGATATTTTATTAAATGAGGATATCTTATTGATTGGATTTTATTTGTAAATAGGTTTGGCACAGACATCAGTTAACTTTGAAGTTTCGGAGGGTCCCACATTTGTCCTGGACGCTGATATGGAGGATATTCTGTTATCGTGCCAATCGCTGAGATGGATCAGGCTATTAGGATTTATGGTGGGTTTAAGCTAAATAAGCAAACTTTATGCAAATTGGAAACCTATTAATAATGCAATAATTTTAGATGCCCGAGGAGGAGAAAGAACTGTTTGAAGAATTTATTGAGGAACACGCTCTCCCGATCAGACTCTATTGAACTGGGTGAATTAACCTCCATCAATAGTGATTGTAAATTTAGTACATTTAATTTACTAATGAATATGCGAACAACATTTGTACATAAACATGCAGAAATTTGCTTAAGGTTCCCTTGCATGCGGGTTTGGAATTTGATTTTTTGTGTTTCAACCCTTTATTATTCCTTGGATTTAAGTGACGCTTTAGAAAACTGCTCATTGGCGTACGTCGTACGCCAATGAGCAGTTTTCTAAAATCTGAGACAACCACTTCATGCCTAGATACGTAACTGCAATATATATATATGTATGCTTAGAAATATTACAGACTTTAAATGTCCACCAATTTTGATTTTATAAGAAATTCCAGAAAATACATTTTCCAGTCTTAATTTCCACTAAATTTTTGTGATGCCAATTTATTTTCTGACGATAGAGAGTGCGAGCATGACTTTACCCCCCTAATTTTATTACTCGTTCTCAATCCCATCTAGGGTTCAAGATGGAAATGTATAAATGTAAAAATTTCAAAGAACTATTACATAGGCGATGCAAGATTCAAATGAAATACAAAAACTTATGCAACTTCAAAATAGATATTTTTAGCGCAGATAGCAAATTCAACAAATTAATGGATAGCTAGATATTTTTCATAATTGAAAGCAGATTAAAAAACATGCACGTTTTAGGTCTATAAGGCATGTATTCTTATCGTGATATCCCGATCTATTGTACATACTGCTTGAAATTTTTTATAGAAGGATACTGCATGCAGCGTTTTATATGGAGTTAATTTTCATAGCTTTCGACAATAAAAAGAATATTGAGTAGATTAATGCACGAATACGTGAAATAATAAATTACAACTAAAGTCACAATATATCACGACATATCGTATGACCCAATATCTCACGGGTGGCATACTAAAGTTTTTCCCAATTTTTGAATAGGCGATAATAATAAAGATGAAAGATGAAATTTTTCTTTATTTCATCATAGCAGCGTGGCTTAGCGAAAATCTGTAAAAAAAATGTACATGTTTTCAGAGAACACTTAAACAATTTGCTGGGAGAACACTTCGAAATTCTTGTAAGAAATTCCAGGCATGGTACGTTTTGTTTCGTAAAAATAGATTGTATTGGATGTAATAACCGACAATTTTTAAGTTTGGAAAGTTATGTGAGAATTTTGATTTTTTTTCATCCATGAGAAAATAGTAGCAAAATAGATAAAATGGTAAAAATTAAATATTTTCTCATGGAAGAATCGTCGATTTTAAGTGGAATAAAATCATTTTAAAAACCTACAGTGCAGACTCCATATAGCCCGAGTCAGGGACAGAGTCCCTGACTCCTCCAGGGTCACTCTGGTTAAAATTTTCTCAGTTTTAGCTTCATATCCGTTCGTGAGAAGCCATTAGGTATCACCGTGCCGGATTTCATGTTTTTAAAGTAATTTCTAAAAATCAGTATGGGTTACCCCATAGGGTCGCTCCAGATAAGAATTTTACCAAATTTCATGTCATATTCTTCTATTAATACCCATTAGCAACCTATCTGTGGTGTATGGTATGTCATAGAGTATAGTTAAGTCTCATATTTCTGTATCTCTGACTGTGCTCGTCTCACTTGCCCAGTCAGTCACCAACGGCTACTTGGAGAATAAAGACATGTATAGTAACTCTCCAGTGCCTGCTCTCTGACTGATTTCGACATCGGTGTTAATGGTGTGTCGATGGCCAACGCTACCTTAATAGCATCTCACACGCATTACACTACATGGTGGCAGCGGGTCAGAACTCCCGTCGTGTCGAAAAGGTGACTTATCAGTGATTTTCTGTGAGGGGAAGTTTATTGCGGTGTCTGCACGTTGAACTGTAGTACTACTCTGCGCATAGAGATGGCAGATAAAGCGTCAGTGTTTCAAGTGTGCCCACCTGAGCAATTCTCGTTCTCGTCCCCCTCAGACTGGCCTCGATGGAAACGTCGGTTCGAAAGGTTCCGGATCGCTTCTGGCCTAGTCAACAAGACTGAAGTGGAGCAAGCATACCTGTGCAAGTGAAAATTCCTTCACTCAACTTCACTCATTTTCACCTCGAGTCAAGTTGCCCTTCACTCCCCTCGCTCACGTGAAGGAACGCTGAGTGAGGCTTCACTCACTGACAAATCTCATTCTCACTCCTTCATTCCCTTCACTCTATCACTCACTCTCACTCACTCATTCCCCTCACTCATCTATTTCCTTCCCTCCTTCTTTCATTCCATAGAGTCCCTCGTGTCATCATAATTTAAATATTTTGGCGCCATGTAGTGGGGCAATGTGAGACTTGGCTGGGTAATGTGAGACTGGGCTGGGGTAATGTGAGATTGGGATGGGGTAATGTGAGACTGGGCTGCGGCAAGACAAGAATTTTCTGGGGTGATATGAGACGCACTATTTTAATTTGCCATAGTATGTGAACGGCCATTTTACTATGTAAACTTATTATATTCCTTCACACTTCTTCCCTGAAGATGAAGGAGTGATGGAGATGAAGGCTTCATCTCCTTCACTCCTTTACCCTTCATTCCACTCATTTCTCGTTCTAGCCTCCCTCACTCACCTTCACTCACTCTATGAAAGTTTTGAAGTCCCTCACTCAGCTTCACTCTCCTTCACTCCTTCATCGTGAATGAAGCCTCAATTTGCCAAAAATGAGTGAAGCTGCACAGGTATGGGAGCAAGTCAACTCTCTTATCTATTTTATGGGCGACCAGGCGGATGATATCTTACTATCATTTGGGCTCTCCAGTGACGATCAGAAGAAGTTCGACACCGTCTTGGCCAAGTTTGAAGCTCACTTCATCGTTAAACGGAACACAATCTATGAGCGTTCGCGTTTTAATTCTCGCGTTCAGGAGAACGGAGAAAGTGTCGACGAATTCATCACTTCGCTATACTCTCTTTCTGAATACTGTGAGTACGGGCAATTGAAGGACGAACTGATTCGTGACAGAATTGTTGTTGGGGTGCGTGATCGTCATCTGGCCGAGAAGATGCAGTTGGACGAGTCGCTCACTCTGGAGAAAGCTGTGAAGATGTCCCGTCAGCATGAGACCGTGAAGAGGCAGCAACGAGATCTTCGTGGCGAAACGACTACTACTACTAATCTTGCAAGGGTTGGGGCCAAGCCAGAGAAGCAGAAGAAGCCCAACTCCAAGACGAAGTCTGTAAAATCTTCGCCGTCCGACTCCTCCAAGAACTGCAAGTTTTGTGGGAGGACCCATGAAATGAAGAAGGAAGTCTGTCCAGCATGGGGGAAGGATTGCAAGACCTGCGGCAAGAAAAATCACTTCTCTAAACTGTGCAAAAGTAAAGAGGGGACTGTTAAAGTGAATTATGTGGACGGTGAAGTGCGCGATCGTGAAGGTGGTTTTGTTGGATCCATCAGAACCATCGGCTTTTTGGAAACAGCCCAGTCGCGTGACTCTCGCTGGTCATCCCTGGTGAAGGTGGACAACACCGAAATCCTCTTCAAGCTCGACCCTGGGGCTGACGTCACCGTGCTTCCACTCACTCTTTTCCGTCAAAAGTGGAAATCTCGCCAATTGGATCATCCGACGCGATCACTGAATGGACCGGATGGATCATCTCTGAATTCTGTGGGAAGTTTTATGTGTGAACTGAGCCATGGGAATTTAAAAGTTAGCGAAACTGTTTATGTGATTCGAGGGCTCCAGCGACCACTGCTAGGACTGCAAGCCTGTGAAGACTTGAGTCTTGTTCGTCGAGTTGACCGTGTGTGGAATGATGAGGTGCCGAAGTCAGCAGAAAATCCTGCCCACGTTGAGAAGGAGTTTCCGATGCTCTTCTCGGGTCTTGGAAAAATTGACCACCCCTACACGATCAAGCTCAAACCCGACGCGGTCCCGTACGCGATTCACTGCCCAAGGAGGGTGCCACTCCCACTAATGGACAAGCTGAAAGAGAAGATTGATGAATTTCTCCGCGACGACGTCATCGAACCTGTGGATGAACCGACCGAATGGTGTGCTCCTGTCGTCATTGCGCCGAAGTCGAATGGTGACATCAGAGTTTGTGTTGATCTAACAAAACTCAACCGGAATGTTGAACGAGAGTTTCACATGATGCCTGTTGTTGAGCACACGCTTGGCCAGATCTCTGGAGTCAAGTACTTTACGAAACTGGATGCAAATAGTGGATTTTTCCAGATTGTCCTCTCACCAGAATCGAGACGACTGACTACATTTCTAACCCCGTTTGGACGCTATTGCTACAAGAGATTACCGTTTGGGATCACCTCAGCGCCGGAAGTTTACCAGAAGAGGATGTCAGAGATTCTTCGCGGTCGAATCTGTGTAGTGCATCATGACGATATTTTAGTGTGGGGGAAGACGATGGAGGAGCACGATGCAAGACTTCGTGACGTTCTCAAGAGACTGAGGGATGCTGGTGTCACCCTCAACCCAGCCAAGTGTGAGTTTGGAGTGACCACCGTCAAGTTTCTTGGTCATCTCCTCGACGAGAATGGGATTCGCCCTGACCCAGCGAAAGTGGAGGGAATCGCCAAAATGTCAAGACCCACGGATGTGCCGGGTGTGCGAAGATTTATGGGTATGGCCAATTACCTAGGAAGATTTGTTCCCAGAATGGCGGATGTGAGCCAACCCCTGAATGACCTGCTTCGGGCCAAGAATGAGTTCGTGTGGGGTCCAACCCAAGAGAAAGCGTTTCAGAAGATTAAGAAAATCTTGACTGAAGAACCAGTTCTCGCTCTTTTTGATGTTAAGAAGGAGACTGTCGTGTCGGCTGACAGCAGTTCCTACGGAATGGGTGCGTGTCTACTCCAGCGCCAAGACGACGGTGAACTACGACCTATTTCCTACGCCTCCCGTACTCTCTCCGATGCTGAGCAACGGTACGGACAGATCGAGAAAGAAGCCCTTGCCAGTACTTGGGGCTGCGAACGATTTCGAGATTTTTTGGCCGGTTCTCATTTCTTGATCGAGACCGACCATAAACCCCTACTACAAATTCTCGTCTCAAAGAATTTGGATGATCTCTCTCCACGACTTCAGTGTTTTCGTCTACGCCTGATGAGATACTCTTACGACGTGAAGTACGTGCCTGGAAAATTACTCTACACTGCAGACACCCTGAGTCGACAACCGCTAGACCACAAAGGAGATGTGGAATTCGAAGAAGTATTGGCCCACGTGTGTCACATCATCTCTCAACTGCCTGTACGAGATGAATTTTTGAGTCGGATTTGGAAAGCTCAAACTGAAGACTCACTGCTGAAAGAAGTGTCTCTCCTCTGCAACCAAGGCTGGCCAGAGAAGACACCAGTGAATGCTGATCTGAAGAAGTTCTGGAATTCAAGATACGAACTGTCTGTCAGCAACGGACTCCTCATGAAAGGATGCAGACTGGTCCTCCCTTCATCGATGCAAGAGGAGCTCTTGGGACGACTTCATGCTGGTCACATGGGAGTAGTGAAGTGTCGTGCCCGTGCCCGTGAATCTGTGTGGTGGCCAGGAATTTCTGAGGAAATTGCAGAAGTAGTGCGGAAGTGCCCAATCTGCGTGAAGGAAAGAGGAGAGCGACATGAGCCTCTGATTCCGTCGGAATTCCCATCTCGACCCTGGCAGCGCGTTGCAATGGACCTCTTCAAATCTCATGGGAAGTGGTTCATCATCATCACAGACTATTATTCTCGGTATCCTGAAGTATACCAATTGCTCAATCAAACAGCAACTTGCGTCATCAATTGCTGTAAAGCCGTGTTCTCTCGTCATGGTGTACCTGAAGAAGTAATGAGTGACAATGGACCTCAGTTTGCTCCCGTCGACTCGTCGGAATTCCGCAAGTTCTCTCGTGAATGGGGATTCATCGCGACAACTTCAAGCCCGAGGTACCCGCAAAGCAATGGATTTGTAGAAGCTGGAGTGAAAATTGTGAAAAATCTGCTCAAGAAAAATTCCGATTGGTACGCTGCGCTCCTAGAGTACCGAGCAACTCCTCTCGCGAATGGATACAGTCCAAGCGACTTGCTTATGAGTCGCCGGATCAGATCTCTACTGCCAATGAATCCAACTCGACTTGTGCCAATCTCAGTGGACAAGGAAGACCTCAACTCGAAAGAAGAGCTGCGACGGTCAAGACAGAAGAAGGACTATGATTCTCATCATCGTGTCCAGCCGAAGGAAGACCTCCAACCTGAAGGTTCGAAGGTCTTTAACCCAGACAACTAAGAAGTTGTCTGGGTTAAAGACCTTCGAACCTTGTTAGAGAATGCCAATGCTCCGCGTTCTCTCATTGTGGACACACCGCGAGGAAAATTTCGACGCAACTCCTTGGCGCTGACTCGTGCTCACACGAATGATCTCCCCGAACCTCCTGCTCCAGATTTGGACTGCCCATCCCAGTCATTCGTCGATGGACAAAATACGAAGGACCCACCTGAACAGAATCAAGATCGCCGACCTCGGGATCAAGTTTCAAGAAATGATGGCAACTACGTTACGCGTTCTGGTCGTGTTGTCAAGCCTGTGCAACGTCTCTTGTGTGAAAAGTGATAGTTGTTAAGAATATGCATTTGATTTACATATGAAATGAATTTATGATTGTAATTGATGTCCTTTGTTTATTGATTTTTGTCCTTTATGTATGAATGATTTCTTTAGCTTAGAAAGGGGGGTGTGGTGTATGGTATGTCATAGAGTATAGTTAAGTCTCATATTTCTGTATCTCTGACTGTGCTCGTCTCACTTGCCCAGTCAGTCACCAACTGCTACTTGGAGAATAAAGACATGTATAGTAACTCGCCAGTGCCTGCTCTCGATGGCCAACGCTACCTTAATAGCATCTCACACGCATTACACTACACTATCTACCAAATTTCAGCTTGTTATAACGATTTTGAAAAATCGGTATGGGTCATTCCATAGGGTCCCTCAAGATGAAAATTTTTCCAACTTTTAGTCATTTTCATCTGTTAGGAGCCATTAGCAACCTCTGTACCAAATTTCAGCCTTCTACGACAATTTCGAACTTTTGGTGCATAATACCCCACCCACCTAGATGACCCTCACTGGTCAACCACTTGACCGATTTCGCCAATCTTCGAACTCGTTTCCTAACTTTGCCCTATATGCATATGGTAAAAATTTCAAGTCAATCGGTTCAGCCGTTTTGGCTCTATCGTGCCGGACAGACGGACGGACGGACCGACATGACGGTTCCATAAGCCCTGACTCGGGCTAAAAAGCACGGAGATCAGTTCAGATTTCAAAATCACTTGAATACATGGAAGATGGGAAAGTTGAGACACAAAAACTCAAATTCAAGGCCCACGCAAGGGAACCTTAATTATGCAAATGATCGGGGCGTTTTTGTCATTGTCAAAATTTTCATTGTTTTCTTACACATCCTAATTTTCTAAAATTTCCTTCACTTTGAATTTCTCCCAATCCAAGACTTGTACCTATGTATGTAATTAGAAGCAAGTGATTTTTGCTTTGTATTGTTTGATACATCACTCGGCATGTAAATAGTAAATTTAATCAGCTGCTTTATGTAAATTTCATAATTATCGCTTTAAAGTTCAAAAAATAAAGTAAAGGCACATTATTTCATTGGTCTCACTATTCCCCAACAGAAAAACCGGGTTAAACGTTTCAATCCATAAAAAATTTGCATTTGTCAAGTGTCAACGACAAGGACAGCTGGGTTCACAATTATGCTGAGGAGCAATTAATTAATAGTGTACTTGTTTTCTGTACGCTTCAAAGTACCGACAAAATAAGTAAGAGACACATCCGACAAAACATTTTGGTCATCATTTTCACATCTTGAACGAGGTAATTAATTAATAATTTCAAGTTTAGTAATTGATTTAAAAGTCTTTGGTAATTCACTAATTAGGGCGTGGACATTAAATTCTGGACCAAGGAGGATAACATGGACACGCCCGCGTCAACCAAGGCGTTGATGAATCCTCTGGTACAAATTATTAATTTAGAAACCCGTCCAATAAAAAAAATAATCACACTTTTCAACGGGTCTAGGGTAGCTCGTCGAAAATATGGTCGTCGAAAGAGCCACTCGTCGAGGACGAGTCGTCTGAAGGGTAACTCGTCCATTGGGCAAGTGGTCGAAAATAATACTTGTCGAGAGTATTTTTTTCAATAAAATAAGATTCTAAATATAAATTATAATTTTATAAAATAACATTTACATGAGAACTCTCAGCAAGAATGCTTAAACCGCCTGTTCCAGGCCTCCACTGCATTATCGGTTGTGGAAATTTTATCTAATACACGTTGGTGCACATTCCAGAAGAGTATTGAAACATTGGTGGATCGTACACTGTACTGATGTAGGTTTTTTGAACATAACTAAAAAATCATCTAGTACGAGTTTAGTTTGACCCTTAAAATTGAACGATACTTTCAATTCTCGGAATGCCACTCTTAAATCATCGGGCTGAACAAATGAGACACCGAATATTTTTTTATTAATAATGCCATTGTAACGTCTTAGTCGTACTGGTTCTTTAAATTGGGTGTCAAATGTCTAAACAACGCTTGAGTACAGTGAAAATGACACCCTTGAAGTACGGCGTCTGGAAACGTGTCGTGTACATCTTTTATTTCAGCTTGTTCAAAATCCATCAGAACAGCTTATCTTTAAATTTAAGTTTCTCTTTGCTGCGTTACATTAGTTCGTCACAGTAATTTGACATTTTTAATGTAAAATTTAAGGGTAAGAAGAACAAAACAATCCTCCCAATTACTGCTGTATAGTGTTTTAAGTATTTTGGAATGTTCGCAGCGTATATCCGTCCCACAATGCACATGTGCTGTGCATACTTGTGAACTCATTATATATTGGTAGGTAAAATCAGTAAAAATCTTACATGAAATTCGACGAGTTTCATGCCACCTAAATTCGACGACTTGCCTTTCTGACGAGTTTTCCATTCGACAAGTTGATTTCGACGATTTACCTTTTCGACGACATAGGATTCGACAAGTAACCCGTATCCCCTTTTCAACACAGCTGCTGAACCTTATCTTCCCTTATTTGGACGCCCCCAGTTTAAAATCCGCCCGATCCGTGTGCACCTTGTGGGCCGAGTTGAGCACCTCATTTCTCGGGAAATGGACCTCCGTGACCTTCACAACGGAGAATTGCTGCCGAGAAGAAATCTCCAAATCGTCCAAGGAACTGGGATCCCTTCACCCGAAACTGGCCAAAAGTGTCGTACTTGTTCTGGCTCAACCGCCCTGTGGTTGGATTTCCTTACCAAAAAACTTGACCACTAATTTGCCACATATTTCCGACCACATTGTTGAATTTGATGTTACGTTGAGCTCGAGATTTGAACCGACTTTGGAACGAATGTGGATGATGCATCACTTCCCGAACCTTGGACTTCTCACGCTTACCTTCGTTATGATAAATATTGATACTTCTGATAATTCTGAAAATGAGGATGACAATTATAACGAGAATCATCCTCCCCATAAAATCCCGCAGTTTCTGAACTTGCCAAACCTGAAGTCTCTCAAGATAGTGGTCAAAGATAAAAGTGAAATCGACCAGGACGACGGGATATCCTCGATTTGTCAGGGACTCCTTAATTCCGCCGCCTGCGTTGAAAATGTCACAATCGATGCCAGTTTCTACCCAGATTTCACCCCTTGTACGAAACTAGACATGCTTGCTTACACCTTCATCCACTTTGAGGATTTCGGCCAAGTGTACGTCGACATTCCCATATTGACCTGGATGTTGGGCACTTGTCGAAATTATTTGACCAGGTTGACTCTAAGTGGCCAACATGATTGGGAGGCCTTTGACCCGGGGGTAAGAAACTTCAAATTTCTTGATATTGCGAAAATTATACGTTGAGATTAATATGATTTTAATTTTTACAGACGCTCATGCTCCCCTCAATGCCAAATTTGGTGGTCCTCCATATCGAAGAAATTTTTCCCTTGGGAAATTTTCTGCACAGCGTCCACCTTCCTTCTGACCCACGTTACTTTTTCCGGTTACGAAACGGCCGGTCTCTGTCTGCCACACATTTTTGAAGATTTCGATCTTCCCCACAAACAGATTACTTCCCTTGACGTGGAAGCCGTCTACAGATATTTCGACCAAGATGTTGAAACTGCGGCGAGAATCGTCCGCCTTTTCCCATCAGTGAAAAAATTTCGGTTCAAGATGACCATTCTCGATGAGGGGGAAGACGATCCTCACGTAATGGAATTGCTGCAATCCTTCGCCACGTGGGATTTGACGTCTGGTTTGGTGGAGATTGAGAGTGACCAGGAGACCACAGACGTTCTAGCTGTGTTGCGAGGGGTGGCAATGTGGAAGGGTGAGATTCAAGTTAATTGTTGCGTGATTTTTAAACGAGGATAGTTTATTAATTGGCTCTGATTTTTAAATAGGCTTGTCACGGACATCAGTTAACTTTGAAGTCAAGGGGAGCCCCAAGTTTGTCCTGGACGATGAGATGGAAGAGATTCTGTTATATTGCAGATCGTTGAGATGGATTAAGATGTCGGGATTTCAGGTGAGTTTTACGCTAATAAACTAACTTCATGCAAATTGGGAACATACTTACATATTCATATTTTTCGTATAATAAATTTAGATGGAGGAGGAGGAGAGAGAAAAATTTGAAGAGTTTATTGAGGAACACGCTCTCCAGATCAGTTTGTTGAACTGGGTGAATTAAGCACCATTCACTAAGGAATATTCACTGGAAATTACCTAGTTAATATATAAACAAAATTTGTAGTTGAATTACACTTGCAGAAATTGACTTAAGGTTGTTCCCTTGCATGCGGGTTTTGGACTTAGAATTTTCTGTCTCAATTGTCCCTTCTTCCCTGGATTCAAGAGGCGATTTAGAAACCTGTTCATTGCCGTACGTTTTGATTTGTAAAAAATATATTTTATTGCATCGAATAATCGATAATTTTTAGGTTTGGAAAGTTAGGAGGTTGGAATTTTGATTTTTTTTTCATCCATGAGAAAATAAAAATAAAATAGATACAATAATAAAAAATAAATATTTTCTGATGGAAGTATCATCGATTATACATAGATGCAATAAAATCATTCAAAAAAACAGGGAGACCAGTCAGTGCAGATTTCAAAATCGTCATTTGAATGCATGGAAGATGGGAAAGTTGAAACATAAAAACTCAAATTCAAGGCCCATGCAAGGGAACCTTAATTATTCAAATGGTCGGGTCGTTTTTGTCATCGACAAAACTTTTATTTATTTATTTTCATCGTTTTTCTGGCACATCCTATATAATTTTCTAAAATTTCTTTCACTTTGAATTTCTGCTTCTCTGCTGTATCCATGTATGTAATTAGAAACAAGTGCTGTTTATTTATTGCTTGATACCTTACTCAGCACGATTAATTGACACCGTTTCTATGGGGGGTGCCCCATACGGTTGCGACAAATGGATTATTTTTTATAAAATTTTCATTTTTTAAATCGTTGGTTCAAAAGTGTCATATTTGAACCAACCACTTTGACCCTGAATAACTTTTGAACAGGCAAACATAGGGACTTAATTCCTGAGAACGAAATCATCCTAATTTTTAGCTTGATTTTTTAAGCTAAAAATCTCGAGTGTACTATTTCGAAAATTAAAACGTTTATTTTGAAGAATATCTCAAAAATATAAGTTTTTCAGCCAATTCTTATCTCACAAAATTCTATAATATACCAAAATGGTCGTATGATCTAGACCGATCGATTGACACCCCACTGGAGGGTGTGAGATCACTTGACCCGGATTTGACCTAAGGGGTCATCTTAATCTTCCAACTTAGCAACGGTCCACTCACACCATTTTTTCATACATCATAATTAAAATTTAATTTCTTCAAAAATGAAAATTTGTGTTGGTAACAATTCATTTGTCGCAACATGTATAGAATGATAAAGTGTCAAATAATATTGTTTACTCAGCATATAAATATAATCGGCTGCTTTATGTAAATTAAATAATTATCGACTTAAAATTAAAACAAATAAGGCATATTACTTTATTGGTCTCACTATTCCCCAACAGAAAAACCGGGTTAAACGTTTCAATCCATAGGAAATTTGCATTTTGGCAAATCAATGACGAGGACAACACAGCTGGCTTCATAACTCTGTTGACGAACAATTAATTAAAACTATACTCGTTTTCTATACGTTTCAAAGTAACGACAAAATAAGGAATTGAGAGGCACACGACACAACATTTTTGTTATCATCTTCACATTTATTCACATCTTATAATAAAGAGGTAATTAATTAATAATCCAATTAGTTAATTAATTCAGTCATCAGACTCATAAATAATCCGTGATGATTTACGAATCCTAAGAAGTAGGTGGACATTTAATTTTGGACCAAGATGGACAACTCGGACATGCTCGCATCCACCAAGGCGCTGATGAATCCTCTGGTAGGGAATATCAATTTAAAAGCTTATTCTTAGATGAGGCTATAGTTACTGCAGGAAAAAAATCATCTAAGTAAGCAATCACTACGGTTTTGAAAAGCTTAATTTTTTCAGATCTAGGTCAATTTCCATCCGATTTTAATGAAATTAGTGTCCAGAGTTAATTATGGGAAATTAGAATTGAACTGCCGAACGGGAGGCTAAAATGTTGACCTGTTTCTGAGATATGCAACAAAAACACCATCAAAAATGTGTTTTTGGGAGATTAGAAAAAAATGAAGGCATATATGATAAATGTAAATGGGAAAAAAGTTGATAAATATTTTTTAGAAAAATATAAAATTAAAATACCCAAAATCGGTTTAAAACTGAGAAAGTTTTGATGGTGGTCAAAATATTACTTCTCCCACCACCACCAAGTTTAGTTGCTAAGGCCCACCAGAGTGATAATTACTAAATTACTAACAATGCGAATAAAAACTAATAAATAAAAGAGACCCAAAAAAAGGAAAGCTTAGATGAGACTAAGAAGTGCGATATTTAATAAATTTCTTCTCCAGTGAAGGATATAGAATTTTAATATTTCGAGCATCAGCGCCCCGTTTCATTCACTATCATATAAATATACAATAACTATCAAATTTCAAATATAATGTAGCGAAAAATATTAAAATCATTTGTTACTTGTTCTTGTCACTAAAAGATTATGAATGCTTGCAATTATACTTGAGTTGATACATGATACATAGGTAACATACATGAACATGTTGCTTATTTACTTTAGTCAGTTTAAAATAAAATGGGGCGCTGATGCTGGAAATATTAAAATTTTATATCCTTCACTGGAGAAGAAATTTATTAAATATCGCACTTCTTAGTCTCATCTAAGCTTTCCTTTTTTTGGGTCTCTTTTTTTAACAAAATTAATCACCCTTTTTAACACAGATACTGAAGCTCGTCTTGTCTTATATGGACGCCCCCACTTTAAAATCCGCCCGATCCGTGTGCACCCTGTGGGCTGACTTGGGCGCCTCACTTCTCGCGAAACAGGTCTCCGTGACCTTCACAGCCGAGCAATGCTGCCGAAAAGAAATCTCCAAGGAACTGGGATCCCTTGACCCGAAACTGACCAGAAGTGTCATACTGATTATGGCTCCACCGCCCTGCTGTTGGATTTCCTTGCCCGAAAACTTTGCCACAAATTTGCCACACGTTTCCCACCACATTGTGGAATTGGATGTTACAATGAGCTCGAAATTTGTACCGGCGTTGGAACAAATGTGGATTATGCATCACTTCCCGAACCTTCGACAGCTCACTATTACTGTCGTTACTATTGAAGTTGATGATCAGGATAACTCTGACTTGCATGATGAAGAAGCCGATGTTGATGTGGAGTTTATCGCGGTGACTCCGAAAATCCCGAAATTCATGGCCTTGCCAAACCTGGCGTTTCTCAAGATAGTCGTCAGTGATCGATATGACAGTGGTCGGGACGACGGGATATCTTCGATTTGTCAAGGACTACTCAATTCCGCATCTGACATTCTCAATGTCGATATCCATGCCAGTTTTTTCCCAGATTTCACCACTTGTACAAACCTGGAGGTTCTTAGTTACACATTGGTCCAATTCTTGTACAACTGGGTGGAAGAATACGGGAACGTCGACATGTCCAAATTGACCGGGATGTTAGACGCATGTCGAAATTCGTTGACCGGTTTGACCCTGTCGTTCCCGCGTGATTTGGAGAACTTTGCCCCGGTGGTAAGAAATTTCAGACGAATGATAATAATTAATATTACGCAAATTGTAAATATTGTTGCAATTTTTGCAGAATTTCATGCTCCCCTCAATCCCAAATCTGTCGGTCATCAATATCAGAAAAATGTACCCCTTGGGAAATTTTCTGCATCCCGTCAATCTTCCAAATCTGACCCACGTCACCTTCTCCGATTACAACTCGTCATGTCTCAGTCTGACTGACATTTTTCAAAATTTTGATCTTCCCCATGAACGGATTACTTCACTTGACGTGGAAGCTTTCTACACATTTTTCGACACTGATGTGGAAACTGCGGCTAAAATCGTCCGACTTTTCCCATCAGTAACAAACTTTCGATTGAAGTTGACCGTTTTTGATGAGTTGAACTTACCGGAAATGTTGCAGTCCTTTGCCACGTGGGATTTGACGTCTGGTTTGGTGGAGATTGAGAGTGGTCAGAAGTCAACTGACCTTCTGGCCGTGTTGCGAGGGGTTGTTTGGTGGCAGGGTAAAATACAAAATAATTGTAACGGGATATTTAAATATGGTAATTGGATTTGCATTTTAAATAGGTTTGGCACACACAGCAGTTAACTTTGATGTTTTGGAGAGTCCCAAGTTTGTCCTGGACGATGAGATGAAAGAGATTCTGTTGTTGTGCCGATCGCTTAGGTGGATTAAGATTTCGGGATTTCGGGTAGGTTTTACAAGCTAGATAATAAACGAACTTTATGAAAATTAGGAACATTAATAATTTTCATATAAATTTAGATGGAGGAGGAGGAGAGAAAAAAATTTGAAGAGTTTATTGAGGAACACGCTCTCCAGATCAGTTTGTTGAACTGGGTGAATTAAGCACCATTCATTAATATTCATTGCAAATTAACTAGTTAATATGTAAACAAAATTTGTAGCTGAATTACATATGCAGAAATTTACTTAATTGTTCGAATGGTCGGGTCGTTTTTTATCCTTCACAAAATTGTTATTCATTTCCACCTAGAATTGACGCATTTTGGGTTACATTTTGGGTCCGTCCATGATAAATAAAAATTTCACCCAAAAATATTTTTTAGTTTAAAAGTTACGGCTTAATTTTTTCCTGACCTCGAGCTCAAAAAATTGATAATACCAAATTAAATGAACTGGTATTTTGTCAATCAAATACTTTTAGCACTTCATAAAATCTTTCATGTCAGTACATATGTATGCATATCAGGCTCAGGCAGAAGTGACAATCTTTGTAAAACGTCAGCAAATTTTTATTGACGTAAAGCCGATTTCTTGCTAACCTATTGTTGTCCTTGCATTGATAAAATGTGCAACGGATATTAAAATGCATGAATATTAAGGTTAATGTTATTGTTTAACAGCACGTTACGTAGAAATCAACTTCCTATTTAGTATTTTTTCACTGGAAAAAATTACACGCTTGTGTATGTTGGCACCAGTCGTCGAATTAACTCCCGTAGTCTTTGTCCTCTGACACATGACTGAAAACTTTACACTTCGTTAAATATTTAAGGTTCTGTTAACATGTGAATACAATCATTAATTAAATAATAAAAGAATTTGAGGTGCAAAACTGTAGAATTACAAAATAGTGTACATACATAAATGAATCTCAAGCTCGCTACAATATTCGCAGGGGTGGGCAAGATACTTTGGTCGTAAGATACAAGATACAAGATAAGATACTCTCTAAGACAAGATATAAGATACAAGATAAAAGATACATCTTGTTTAAGTACACAAGATACAAGATACAAGATACTTTTCTAAAAATTGAGTAGTCAAGATACAAGATACAAGATATGTATCTTAAGATACTTTTATACTAGATAAGATACTTTCTTTTTTAGCTTGGTATTCATGCCCAATTAGTCATGTTTAATCATTTAACCGAAAAAATCTAGTGAGTACAAAATTTAAAATCATTCTAGAATCATTTTACAAATTTTGTTGCCAGTGCTTATACATCGAAAAAGGTCTAAATTTCGAAAAACTAGAACTCTACCTAACATACGTATATTCTTAAGAAGCTGGTATTATTTTTACAATATTCCCTGCTTATTCAAACTAAACCCTATAAGATCTATACATTAGTTCAGCGTAGATGTAATGTGCAACGTATGTATCAGTATGTATGTACGAGTACACATGTACATATATATATATATATATGTGCATATATGTACAAGTTTGTTACGAATTGGCAAAACATAAACTAAAAATTCACCAAATTCTGGTTACGACAAATTCATGGTCAAATTGACTGACTTTAGTAAGAAATTGACGTAATTTGACGGAATTTTGAGAAAAAGTATCTTGTATCTTGTCGAAAGTATCTTAAGATACTTTTCTGCCATGCATATCTAGATAAGATACTTACACAAGATACTTTCGACTTTCTAAAAGATAGAAGATAGAAGATACAAGATACTTCTCTGATCAGGCGACGAAGATACAAGATAAAGATACTATCTTGTATCTTTTATCTTGTATCTTGACCAAGTATCTTGCCCACCCCTGAATATTCGTGACAAGTTTGGCGATCATCCTCCTTGCGCAAGGTAAATTTATATGTATGTAAATACGTGTGTAGAGGCCCTTCCTTTTGTAATTTTTTTAAAATAAATTGCACAAAACTTAAGTAACCACTTTTGTTAGTAACCGCAGACAAAGAAAATGCCTGCACCGGAAACAGGTGCAACGAAATGTGCAAAAGTGGTGACAAGGGGTCGGGATGCTATGGGTCGTTCTGCTGGTCGACCGGACTTCCTTCCGCGTTTTGTACCTGTCTCGGATTCCCTTGGAATTGTGACACAAGGTTTTTCGAGTTATGATATATAAAATTATGATCAACATTATCATTTGTGAAAATTAAATGTGATAAATGACTATTTGAATGCTGTAATCATGCCATTATTAAGCAATAGATCGAATAATAAATTAATTTTGCATACGTGCGAAATTCAATATTTCTGCAGTACAAATTTGCAGCCTTTATTGCCAACAGCTTAAATTGATTTTGACCATGTCCACGAGATTCTCAGCCTTTAGAATTTTCTATTCTTTCTTCGCCCTTTCTTGACCTTCCCCTCTATCCAGGTCTTACTCCGCTCATCATCAGAGGGCGGATATGTATGTATTTCTAACTTTTTCATACCAAATCAGATCGTACTTAAACTTCGTCCACTAACATCCCATCTTAGTAGGATCCCAAAAATTCAAACATAGTTTTACATATTTTACATATTTTGGGGTTTTCGTACATATACATATTTTCATACATATTTTAAAGTTTTTCCCTACATATATGCATATATGCAGATTTCCTTACATATTTCGAGTATTTTTCTTAATTAAATATTTCAATATATATTTCGAGTTTTTTTATGCAAAAATATTTTTCTTCCTTAAGAAATTAAGAATTTCTCAAAATTATCTACATTGTCATGATAATGGGTTGTCAATTCGTGTGAACGATGTGCCAATCCAATTTTCCGCATTTTTCAAGCCAAAAATTACACTAGAAAATCTTGACATGGAACTGGTCTTGCCTTATACGTCATTGAATGAAGATTTAAATGTAATTCTGACATAATTTACTTATAAGAGTGTTAAAAATTTGCATCTTCTCAAATCTAGAATATATATAAGGTTGGAAATTTCTTTTGGAAAATATTTTTTATGTGCATATTTTCGAGATTTTTAAGTACATATTACATACATATTTTGAGGAATTTAAGTACATACATATCCGCCCTATGCTCATCATACACCAAATCAACCCCATGCTTCCCCTTGACATGTGCCACCAAGCCTTCCTTTGTGCAGAACTGGGGAAGAAGACTACGTAAGACCGTCAACGGAAAACTTTTTAACGCTGACTCAAGTGGCGATGACGAGAATGATAGTCCGTTAAAGATGAGCTACATTTGTGATACTCATTCGTAAACATAATTTACCGTTTCATTCTAACTTGTTTGCATTAATTAATATAATTAAAATAACTAATTTTTCAAAGGACGAGCCCCGATGAGTTCTTTGTCCCAGGTACGAAGCCAGAATATTGATCAAGGGTCATTTAATGGAACAATTACTCCAAAAACTGATGGTATGTATTGCAGAATAACTGGCTGAATAGGATAAAAATTCTTCCGCTCTACTCGAGCTGCTGATCACGTGACAGAGCCGAGAAACCAGCGCCGTAATGAGCCGAATTATCCTATTATTTTACACTTGTTTATTTTATTTTGGCGTTCAAATCATTCAACTATCCAAATTCTTGACACGAATTGAATAATTTGAACGCCAAAATAAAATAAACAAGTGTAAAATTATAGGATAATTCGGCTCACTCGGCTAATATAACGGCGATGAGGCCCATGTCTGGCCGACGTTTAATAAATTTTATTTGTGATAACGTATGCTACGGCGCTGCTCTGAAAATCTCATATTCACCCGTAATAAAGTTGAAAGCGGTCACATTTTAAATTTAAGTCTATCCTATCCAGCCAGTTACTTTACAATAGTTCACTTCCTTCTACAGTAACAATTTAAATTTCAGGGGCGTATCTATTTTTTTGGTGCAGATATGATAATTCGTAAACTGGATTATCTTCAAGCGACCATTAACGAGCTTCGAGAAACTTTACACCTGACTTTGCGTAATCAAAATAGGACGATTATCGAAGACCTTGATGACCACGAAAAGGTTATATTCCATTAAACAACTTGACGGAGTATGACGAATTGGAATGAAAAAGAGCTGACCCTAAAATTCGACAAGCCTTGGTTAACATCATGCTTTTAAGTTCACCCCAACCTTTTTAGTTTGTTATCATAATTTATGTATTGTAATTTCTAGATAGCGAGATTGTCAGGCTTATGCAGTAAAGGCACATATGTTATTTACCGCGTGCTTACACTTTTGATGACGGACGATTTTGCAGCAACAAAGTTTGGCGGGTCAACGCGGAAAAAAATCTTTTAAAAATCGTGAAAAGATCAAAAGCTGTGTTTATTGTAAGGCTGATAACTTAAACTTTTCGTCCTTGCTCCATTCTGGTGCTTATTTGATTTGGTGAACCAAATCATACATAATCGTTGTGCATCATCAACAAAGCCAAGAAAAAGAGGCGGGTCCTCGTCGTGGCTCCAATTCTAAATCATAGGAACGCGAGCGGGTGGAACGACAGGATAAACGTTGAGTCGAAAGCCACTGGACTGACATTTTTGCCTGTGCAAATAAATACATTAAAATTCTGTGAAATTCTGACAAATTGAGTTACAGGTAAGAAACATTTTTCGGCTTGCTTCCGATGCGCCCAGGTCAAGAGTTAATTTTGCAAATGATAACTGTCAAGCAAATATTTGATTCACAATGTTATAAAATTATAACTTCTGAAAATGTCTTTTAGAATGAAGCGTACTGGAAAGGGGACAAGTTCGGAAACTCTGAAAAAAGTTGGACGAAGGAACGTCACCAGGTCAAAAGGGATGGCAGTTCCTTTTGACCGCTTGAAATGCCGCATGTATATCAATCTAACAAAATTATTAATTATTTCCAAGTCATTTTGATTCAATTTCTAATATTTTCATATTGCAGATTATTGAGCACGTTGCGAAATTCTTGTCCAATTCTGACCTACTGACGTGCACCCTGTTGAATAAAATGTGGGAAAAAGAGGCTCGCAAGAAGCTCTTACGAAACGTATTGCTTAATTTATCTTCGCCCTCGGTCAAGAAGGGTTTTGCCCAGACTGTGGCATCCTACACCGAAGCAATGGAAACTCGGGGGGCATACCATTCCAAATTGCGAATTGGGGATATAAAATCCGTCCATGAATGCAACGTTCTTTGGTATTTGATGGAGCGGGTGAGTTTCTTTCTGAACTTAATTGAACAATTTAATTTAACAATTAGATGTTTCTAACAATGGGGATTTCATTAAGAGTTCAAATGTTCGCATCTCAGCATGATTTTATTTTTTTAATTGAGAAACCAAGTGCTAGCCTTGGAGATTCATCTAGAAGTTCGAAAACTAAAAATAATCGGAGCCT